GCCCGCGGGGGCGCACTGGCCCCGCCCCTCGTGCCAGGCCCCGCCCACGCTGCTCCCGCCTTTGTGGGCTGCTGGAAGAGCGGCCCGCCACCGCAGTCACGTGGAACGCGCGTAAGGGGTGGGCGACTGCAGTGGCCGCACCTTTCTCCCCCAACCCTCTTTTGTGCTGGCCTGGAGGGGCGGTGCCCATCCTGAAGCGCTTGGCTGGGTGCTTAGCCAAGTGGGCGGGTGGCAGTCCAGTCCGCCCATATGGATGAACTGTCTGCCCATCGCTTATCCTAGCCACAAAGGTGGTGACCTTCCTAGGTGTAGGATCCTAATTGGAGGTTCGGCAGGCAGATAACGGAACTGCAGTATCTACACCTCAGCTTCGTTTGAGCATGTCTAGAATTGAAATGCGGGCGGGTAGCCTTCCCTTAGGACTTGGGCTATTGAGGGCTCATTGCTCTTCCCTATGCAGTTCTGGGAGGTGATAAGCGATGAACACGGCATCGACCCTACCGGTACCTACCACGGAGACAGCGACCTGCAGCTGGACCGAATCTCTGTGTACTACAATGAAGCCACAGGTGAGGGCAGAAATCCCGATTCTTTTTCCCTGTTAACACTTCTCCAGTTGAGGCAGGGTCTCATTATGCATCACTGGCTGGCCGGAACCTACAAAGGTCGGTCCACCTCCCGATTGCTGGATTTAAAGGCGGTATCACCGCGCCCTGTTATCCCACATAAGTACCTGTTAACCCCTTTGCACGAATCTCATCCTTTCCCTTTAGACACCCACCATAAGGAGCCAAAGATTAGCTCTGCTGCCACCAGGTGGCAGCGCCTGGAATGACAAGCTTAGTGGTTTGGGTATTGCCCACCCCAAATTAGATCTTCACTGCAGAGGGCTCTCAAACATCTGCTTGAATCCCTGCAGGTGGCAAGTATGTCCCCAGAGCTATCTTGGTGGATCTAGAACCCGGGACCATGGACTCCGTTCGATCAGGTCCTTTTGGCCAGATCTTCAGACCAGACAACTTTGTTTTTGGTGAGTTACATGAAATGAATTCCCATGTTCCCAAGGGGGTTTTTCCAAAAGTTGAAAGATTAGTAATAATCATGGCTCTCCCGAATCTTAGTGACTAAGCTTTCTAATTTTTTTTTTCTGACACCTGACAGGTCAGTCTGGAGCAGGCAACAACTGGGCTAAGGGTCACTACACAGAGGGAGCCGAGCTGGTTGACTCTGTCCTGGACGTGGTGCGGAAGGAGGCAGAGAGCTGCGACTGCCTGCAAGGCTTTCAGCTGACCCACTCGCTGGGGGGAGGTACCGGTTCTGGCATGGGCACCCTGCTCATCAGCAAGATCCGAGAAGAGTACCCTGACCGCATCATGAACACCTTCAGTGTGGTACCCTCGCCCAAAGTGTCTGACACCGTGGTCGAGCCCTACAACGCCACCCTCTCTGTCCACCAGCTGGTGGAGAACACCGACGAGACCTACTGTATCGACAACGAGGCCCTCTATGACATCTGCTTCCGCACCCTCAAGCTCACCACGCCGACCTATGGTGACCTGAACCACCTCGTCTCGGCCACCATGAGCGGGGTGACCACCTGCCTCCGCTTCCCAGGCCAGCTCAACGCCGACCTCCGAAAGCTGGCTGTCAACATGGTGCCCTTCCCACGTCTCCACTTCTTCATGCCTGGCTTTGCCCCACTCACCAGCCGTGGAAGCCAGCAGTATCGTGCCCTCACTGTGCCTGAACTCACCCAGCAGGTCTTCGATGCCAAGAATATGATGGCTGCTTGTGACCCCCGCCACGGCCGATACCTCACTGTCGCAGCTGTCTTCCGTGGGCGGATGTCCATGAAGGAGGTAGATGAGCAGATGCTCAATGTGCAGAATAAGAATAGCAGCTACTTTGTGGAATGGATCCCCAACAATGTCAAGACGGCGGTCTGTGACATCCCACCACGTGGCCTCAAGATGGCAGTCACCTTCATTGGAAACAGCACCGCCATCCAGGAGCTCTTCAAGCGCATCTCAGAGCAGTTCACAGCCATGTTCCGCCGGAAGGCCTTCCTCCACTGGTACACAGGTGAGGGCATGGACGAGATGGAGTTCACCGAAGCCGAGAGCAACATGAATGACCTCGTCTCCGAGTATCAGCAGTACCAGGATGCCACTGCAGAGGAGGAAGAGGATTTCGGGGAGGAGGCAGAAGAAGAGGCCTAAGGCAGAGCCCTGCATCACCTCAGGCTGCTTAGCTCCCTCAGCTTTCTTCAGCTGCCCGTTTTCTCCTTCAGAGTTTCTTTCTGCTGCCTCTGTCCTGTTTTGTTTTTTCACTGGGGAGGGTGAACAGTGCCTGGCACACAGTAGGCGCTCAATAAATACTTGTTTGTGGAATGTCTCCTTTCTCTTTCCACTCTTGACAAACCTAGATTTCTGCCATTCTGAGTGTTGCCCTATATTTCCTTCTGGTATCCATTTCTCATAACTGTCAATATTTTTCCAATACATGCTCCAGGAACCCGAGTTCTGCTCCAGATCCTGATCCGGCCCATTACTAAAAACCCAGATAGTGGCCAGCATCCTAAAGCTAAGTAGTGGATCAGAGAAAGGGAAGGGTGGTATCCAGTAGGGGTCACTAGGAAGAGGAGGGGTGGAATTTCCAGGCATGGCCATTTACACAGGGGATCCACTGCTTTTTCAATCCACAGGTTTCCCTCTGCTTCATCTCAGCCTCAGGAGAGGTATTAACAGTATTATCTCCATTTATAGCCTCCCGGCTGTCCTGAGCCAAATCTGCCGTTGGAGGTGTCCTCCCTGTATTCCTCCTTTCTCCGAGAGGTGGGAGTGAGGCCGGAGCAGAGCCTTGGTCTCTGGGTGTCCAGAAACCGCCCAGTCCACTTAACCTCCAAACTTTGGAAGGTGTGTTTGGGACCTTCCCCAGAGGGAGGGTGACATCTTTGCTTCTGCCATTTCCTTCCTGGTTTGGTCTTACCTTACCCTTCTATTTTGTGTTGAACTTGGCTGCTTTTTTTCATATTGAAAAGATGACATTGCCCCAAGAGCCGAAAATAAATGGGAATTGGAAAAAAGGTGTGAGGCGTGCTCATTCAGGGTTAGGTAAAGCTGCTGGTGGAGGCGAGGGCCCAGGTGGAATTGCACTCTGTTCCCAGGCCCATAAGGATGTCAGACTTAATCCTTTTGTCTTAAATCCTGGTAAGCAAACTGCCATCATCCGTCCTGGCCATGTCTTCACACTGGCTTTTTTTGCGTTGGGGATTGAATGTGACCCTATGCACTAGGCAGATGCTCTGCCACCGAGCTCTGTCCCTCACTAAGTGTTCCTTAGTTTGCCCAGGCTGCCCCAGCTAGGTGACGATTCTACCTCGGCCTTTCCAATAGCTGAAACTACATGTGGCACACCCTGCAGTTTTTCTTTTGTTGCTGGGGACAACTCACATTCCTAGCTCTCCAGGGGTGGGGGTTGGGGGCAGGGAGACGGTTAAAACTGGTTAGACCTACCTCTAACGCTAGCATTCAGTGGAGACTTGTGGAGTGCCCGAGGTGAACTGGCCCTCAGGTTTCATTTTCAACCTTCCAGTCCATCCCAGGTACCTCTGGGGCTATTAACTTGGTCACACACACTGAGGGATTCTCAGTAACCTTGGCTGTTTTGGAACTCATTCTGTAGACCAGGCTGGCCTCCCTGGTGCTGGGATTAAAGGCATAAGCTGCTGCTGCAGCCACTACCACCACCACCTGGCTTAAGTGAATCCTTTACTTCTAGTCGGAAAAGCCGTAAGTTTTTTTGAGACAAGTCTGTTGCTCAGGCTGGTGGAGTTACCATTTATCTCCACTTGTTAAAGCTACAGACTGGAGCTGCCACACATGCTAGTTCAGTTAGACATAATGGATTTGGATTTAATGTATAAAGCAGGGTGTTTGAGGGTTATATACAAATGCTACACCAGACTCTGTTACCTGATGTACCTAAACCGTGCCAAATTGACTGCAGGAGTCCAGTGTCCCAACAGCCAACTTCCAGGGGAAGAACTTGAACCAGGTTCCTGGAACTTGTGATTCTGCTTCCAGATCGGTACTTGGTTTATTTAACAAGAAGGGCCATCTTTTGGTCTTGGTGAAGAAAGTGTAGATAACAGGTTCACACAGTCTAGTTTAATCAGGAAGTTAAATAGTTGGGATGGGCTTAAGTGGGATCATCAAAACCTGGTGTAGGGCACTGGCAACGGACTGAGAAGGGGGCCAACCCCTCCAAGGCAAGGCACAGACTGTTTGGCAAGGAGATATGGTGCATCTCTCTGTCAGGAGGCATGCCCAGGGAAGCCAGGAGAGGTGCATGCAATGAGACCACTTGAGCCACAGGTCCAGGTACTGCTGAGTTGAGGGCTCATGCCGTCCGCAAAGGCTTGTTGTGATTCACCTGGAGAAAAAGAGTGAAGATGTGGAACTGGGCACCTGCTCTCCAGCAACCACTTGGAAGAATGGGTTCAGGAGGGCATTGAAAGGCCAACCATCTTCTTGCTGGGTGAGGTGGCACATACACAGGAGGCAGAGGCAGGTGGATCTCGGAGTTCCAGGCATCAGTGTAGTCATGGAGATCTGTCACTGACGAGGTCAGAGGACCAGAGCTTTGCTTGCATAATTCTCCTTAGCACAAAACCTAGCTCAGGCTTCAAAGAGGGTCCAACAAACCCAGCTTGATGAAGATTGTTTTTCAAGACAGGGTTTCTGTGTGCCTCCCAAGTGCTGGGATTAAAGGTGTGTACCACCACCGCCCAGCCAATGAAGATTGCTTTTATAGGCATGGTGCTGTTTTATTTTTAAGACAGTCTTGCCAGGCAGTGGTGGTGCATGCTTAAATCCCAGCACTCCGGAGGCAGAGGTGGGTGGATCCCTGTGAGTTCGAGGTCAGTCTGGTTTACAGAGTGGGTTCCAGAACAGCTAGAGCTACACAGAGAAACAACACGGCCCACAAACAAGGTCTCACTATGTGGCCCCAGATGGTCTCAGACTCACAGCTCAGCCTGCTTCTGCCCCCTGCATGCTGAGATTAAAGGTTTATACCACTACACCCAGCTCCACATCTCTGTGGCACACACAACAGTGCCCTAAGCACTCTAAACAGTCCCCCCCCCCCACCCGACACCCCAGCAAGGGGGCTGTGATTTACATCATTCTCACCTTTGCCATGAAGTGAATTATCACCAGGTGGCAGCTGATCCTTTGTTCTCCTCAGGTGCTCAGGCACACAGACTATGAAGATTAACTAGCCTGGCTGAAGCTCTGCTTCCCAGCCGTGGGAAGCTACGTTAACATATTGGAGGTCGTTCTTTTGTATGTGTACTTGTGTGTGAAAGGCAAAAGATATCGGTGGCTGTTGTTCCTCAAGCACCATTCTGTTTTCAGGTCTCTCACTGGCCTAGAACTTGCCAAGCAAGGACCTGACATGGGTTCTGGGGACTGAATTTGGGTCCTCAGCAGGGTGACTTGACCCCAAGTCACTGTCTGTGACTTCCTGGGCTCCTGGATGCCCATCAAGCACTGTATCACATGACACAGGTACACACACCTGTACACACACCTGTACACACACCTGTACACACACACACACACACACACACACACACACACACACACACACGGCATTCACCATCACCTGGGAGATGCTGATGCCCGTGAGTTTCTCCACACTCTCTGGCAGGCGGCTTAGAATGTCCAGTACTTCCCCAGTCACTTTGGCTGCCCCCATGGTTCCACTTCCGCTGGACACCAGTGTGATCTTTTTGGCTGAGGTCAGGGGACCACTGATCTCTTCGGCCACCTGGTATGTAGAGAGAGCTCTGACCACGCCACCCATCAAATTCACCCTACTACTGGTCATAATTCCTCACTTTGGTCACCCCTAACTTATGGCCCCCTCATCACCTACTTCACCTCACCCCTCTCCCACAGTCCCACCCACCCCCAGACCTGGGGCAGTTTCTCCAGCAGCATGTCCAGCTGGGCGGCCTCCTGGTACATCTGGAAGGCTTCTGCCTTCTTAGCCATTTGCTCGGCTTCCGCACGAGCGCGGGCCTCTATGGCAAAGGCCTCAGCTTCCCCGCGCATCTGCAGAGGGTACAAGGCACTGAGACCGATGGCATTCGCTAAGAACACGGAATTCTGAGGCCAGTGAGATGGCTCAGAGGTAAAGTGCTTGGGCCATCAACCTAAGTTAAACCTCCAGAGCTCACGTGTGTGGAAGAAAAGATCTGACCTCACACTGGCAAGATAGTACATTATCCCATCCTGCCCCCCACATAAAAAAAAAAAAAAACCAAAAAAACCCCAGCTGGGTGCAGTTGTGCATGCACGCCTTTAATCCCGGAACTTGGGAGGCGGAGGAGGGCGGATCTCTGTGAGTTTGAACCTAGCCTATTTTTCACACAATGAGTTCCTGGTCAGCCAGGGTGACAAAGTCAAAGAAGAGTTAAGAAAATCTGACCCAAGCCCTTCCCCGTGCTAAGCAGGGGCCATGCCACAACTCACCCGCACAGACTCAGCTTCGGCCTCGGCCTGCATGATCAGCTGGGCCCTGGGGATGGAAGGGAAGGGGGTTGGTGGCCAGGCGCCTTGCCTGCCTGCGAGTGTCAAGGGGCCAAGAGGGGCGCAGGAAGCGGGAGTTACTTCTCTGCTTCCGCGAGGCGCTCCAGCCTGTAGCGCTCAGCCTCCGCAGGTTTGCGCACGCGGGCCTCCAGCTCTTTTTCGCGCCGGGCGATCTCCTGCTCCTGCACCGCCACCTGCTGGGCGCGCTCCACCACCTGCACCTGCACCCGCTGCTCCTCGATCTGCTGCTTGGTTTTGGCCACCTAGAGAGCAAGGGGCACTCTAGTCAGGGCTGGGGAGCAGACTGCGCACCCCCCCCCCCCGAGCCAGAGAGAAAAGCCAGCATTAGGGTGTGGGAGAGGCCCATGAAGTTGCTTCCTGGTCTACCCAGCCTACAAGGTAGTGGGATCCTTTTCAAGTACAGAAGGACTCTTCAGAGCAGGTAAAGGCTTCAGCATCAGAATGGGTAGTGACCAGGTACCTGCCTTCCCTTGGGTGAGGAAAGCGTCCCTTCCGGGTCTTCCACTTGTGTAACTCTCTAGAGTACACTGACCCCCTCTGGCGGTCACCTTCTACCTCCACAGTCCTGTCCACATCTCGCCACTTCCCTTTGCAGCCATTCTTAGGGTTGGCCACCATCAACTCCAGCCCGGACAGCCCAATAGTCAGTACTGCCTTTTCCACCCTCCCAGCGGACTTTTCTTTTCTTTTTTTAAATCTTTTTGCATACGAAGTAAGTTCAAAAGAAAAAGTAGATATGGAAAAAGTGGCTTCCTCCCACCTCTTGCCTCAAACCACTTGGTTCCCTTCCTAGAAGCAACTACTATAACCAGCTTCCACAGACTGTGTGTGCATGTTCAGATTTCTCTTTTTTTCCATTCTTGTTGTTGTTGTTGTTATTATTATTTTGGTTCTTCAAGACAGAGTTTCTCTGTGTAGCCCTGGCTATCCCGGAACTCTAGCTGTAAGCCAGGCTAGCCTTGAAATCAGAGATCTCAGTGCTGGAATTAAAGGTATGTGCCACCACCAATCTCTAAAGACTTTTTTTTTTTTTATGTATATGGGTATTTCGTCTGTAAGTCCATCTGCACACGAGAAGAGGGTGTTGGATCTCACAGGACTACAGTTACAGATGGTTGTATGCTACCATTCGGGTCCTGGGAATTGAACCCAGGACCTTTGGAAGAGCAGCAGCACTCTTAACCACTGAGCCATCTCTCCTGACTTTTTTTTAAAGGTAGGATGTTGTCACTCTGTATTCCAGCCTACCTTAAAAGTACATAGTCCAAGCTAGCCTCAACTTGGTGTGATCTTGGAACTAGCAAAATGGCTTAGGGCACAAAGGCATTTGACTTCAAGTCTGACTCCGAGTTTGATCCTGGAGGACCCACATGGTTGGAGACAACCGGCTCTTGCAGGTTGTCTCCGACCTGACACACGGGTGGCAGGGGGTGGGGGGGTGGGGGTGGAGAGATAGGTCAGTAGTTAAAAGCATTGGCTGCTCTTGCAAAGGACTTGTGTTCATCACCTAGCATCTGTCTGGCATCTGAAACTCCAGTTCCAGGGCATGTGATGCCCTCTTCTGGCCTCCACAGATACCAAGCACCAACACATGAACACAGTACACATACAAACAAGTACGCAAAACACTCATCACATAAAATAAAAATAAAAAATCTTTTTTTTTTATGGGGGGGGCATTGTTTGAGACAGGGTTTCTCTGTGTAGCCTTGGCTGTCCTGGATCTTGCTCTGTAGACCAGACTGGCCTTGAACTCACAGAGATCCGCCTGGCTCTGCCTCCCGAGTGCTGGGTTTAAAGGTGTGCTCAACTACCTAAGGACTGTAGTGAACACCTTTAACCCCAGCTGTTGTGGAATAGAATATTTAAGTTGCAAAATAATTGTTTAACTACGTAAAGATATGTTGCTGTTTCACCTTGCCTGCCTAAGGTACCTGTTTGGTGTAATAAAAAGCTGAAAACAGCTAGGCAGAGGAGGGACAGGCGGCGCTGGCAGGCAGAGAGAAGGGGAGCCAGCCAGCCAGGGGCCCAGCCAGCCAGGGGCCCAGCCAGCCAGGGGGCCCAGCCAGCCAGCACTGAGGAAGCGGGAAAGTGGGATGGACAGTGTGCAGATGAGGTAAACAAGCCTAATGCAGCACATAGATGAATAGAAATGGGTTAAATTAAGAATAAAAAAGCGCCAGGCAGTGGTGGCGCACGCCTTTAATCCCAGCACTGGGAGGCAGAGGCAGGCGGATCTCTGTGAGTTCGAGGCCAGCCTGGGGCTACCAAGTGAGTTCCAGGACAGCCAGGGCTACACAGAGAAACTCTGTCTCAAAAAAATAAATAAATAAATAAAATAAAATGCTGGCTAGAAACAAGCCTAAGCTAAGGCTGGGCATTCATAATTAATAACAAGTCTCTGTGTCATGATTTGGGGGCTGGCAAAGAAAGCCAACGACACCCAGCATTCAGAGACAGAGGCAAGAGAATCTCTGTGAGTTCAAGGAGCAGCCTCGTCTACACCCTTTATCAGCCAATCAATATTTATTTTTGCTTAAGAGTTTTTGTTTAAAAGATACATTCTAGGCAGGTGGGTGGAGCCTGCCTTTAATCCCAGCACTTGGGAGACAGAGGCAGGTGGATATCTGAGTTCAAGGCCAGCCTGGTCTACACAGTGAGTTGCAGGACAGCCAGGACTACACAGAGAAACCCCTTCTTGAAAAACTAAAAGATATCTTCTAAGCTAGGCCTGGTGGTACATGCCTGTAATCCCAGCAGTAAGGAGGCTGAAAACAGGGGGCTGGAGAGATGGCTGCTCATCCACAGGTGCCAAGTTCAATTCCAAGCAGCCACATGGTGGCCCACAACAATCTATAGTAGGATCTGATGCCCTCTTCTGGCATAAACTGGTAGTGCAGATAGAGCACTCATCTACATAAAATAAATAAATCTTAAAAAAGAAAGAAAGAGGCTGAAACGGGGATTACCACAAGTCGAAGGCCAAACTGGGCTACAGTGTGAGACCCTTTCTCAAACAAACAAGCAGGACATGGTGGTGCACAACTTTAGTCCCAGCCCTCAGAGGGTAGAGGCCGGTGACTCTGAGGCCAGCCAGTGTCTATATATATAGTCAGTTCCAGAGCAGACAGACGGGTACATAGTGAGACCCTGTCTCAAAGAATGAAACAAAACAAAAACAACAAATAAAAAATAAAGACACCTTATATAAAGCACACAGAGCTAATGCATTCCAGTGGAACAGAAGCCAACTGTATTTTAATTCCTGTCTGAACCAAGGTAACCTAACAACACACACACACCTTCTCCATAAGGCATATCACAGTCTTGTGCTAAGGGACTCCACATAGCACTTTAGTACTATTTGAGTGCCGTTTTATTGTGAACGTGTGAGTCTGTGTGTGTGTTATACCCTCAGCCCCAAGAGTCATTTTAAACAGCAAAATCAATAACAAAAATCACAAAAATGCAGAAATGGTGTTGGGGTCATGTGGTGAAATTGTTTGCGGCCTGAGAGCTGAAACAAGGCAGCATTTCCTTATTTGATCTCATCTGGAGACTCCATCAGGCAACCAGAACTGCTCAGCATTCTGTGCCTGCCCATGTGTCAGACCAATGCTGTCAGCACTGACCTAGGGCCCACCCACTAATCCCAGTGAGCGGGCAGATTCGCAAATGTGCAACCATGAAGACAGGAACCAGCTACACCTTCTTGTAATAGAAAGGATCACTTCCCGTCACCCAAGGTCCACATCTGTTTCCTTCCTCGCCCTTCTCTTTGATCACCAAAGTCTTGGGGTACCCTGTACAAGCGAGAAAAAGCTTCTCTCTTCCGAACAGGTGCAGACTCACACCCAGAACACAGCTTGGCGAGTGGAGCACTGGGTACTCTGGTTCCTACCTGCAGCCAGGTGCCCTTACAGACAGGCACGTGTAATGGAATTTGCTCGGCCCATGGCTATAGGGCCCGAAGGAGACGGCGCTTCCTGCCTTTATACATGGCCTCTTATAGGGGAAGGGAGAAGGGTCACGGTCAGATCAGCGGACGACTTCAGCTGTCTACTCCATTTTGTTTCTGTGAATGTATTTCCTCAACTTATATCTTAATAAATTGTTACCCATTTAATAGACTCATGTGGATTGATCGTAATAGGCACAGCCTAGCCCAAACATGACTCTTGATCAATCGAATTCATGGCCTTTCTCTCTCTCTCTTCTTGTTTGTTTGTTTGTTTTTTTGAGACAGGGTTTCTCTAGTAACAGCCCTGGCTGTTCAGAACTCACAACTCACTTTGCACACCAGGCTGGTCTCAAACTCAGAGATCCACCTGCCTCTGCCTCCCGAGTGCCAGGATTAAAACAGTGCGTGCCACCACACCCTGGCTCTTTCTTTTCTGAGAGGTTTTCAGCTGAATGCTCCAGTCCATATGTACGTGCAGATGCCCATACATGTACAGGTGTTTGTGGAGGCCAGAGGACAAGGCACAGTATCATCCCTCTGCAGACACCTTATACTCTGAGACAAAGTCCCTCACTGGCCTGAGGTTCAATGATTACGCTAGCCGGGCTGACCAGTGACTCCCCCAAGATCCACCTATCTCTGCCTCCCCAGCATGGGGATCACACGTGTGTGCCACTCAGCGCATGTATCAACTGAGCCAGCTCTCCAGTCTCTACTTGAGACTTTTATGTCTTTTATCCTATGGGGGAGACGGGTCAAAATTGATGGAAGTCTCTAATACAGATGGAAGAGAGACAAGAGAAGGGTCGCAGAGCAGCCTGGACACGCCCAGCGTGGCCGCACTTACCTGCAGCTGATAGGCCAGGTCAGCCTGTGCTCGGCGGGTGTTGACCTCGATGTCGTAGGTAGCCTTCTTCAGCTCATAGTCTCTCTGTGCCTTGGCCATCTCTATTTCACTAAGGCACTGTGCAGACACCTTCTCCTGCTTGGCCTTCGCCTCCTAGGTCAGATTAGTGAGGAAGGTCAGAGGGTAAGGACCTGTTCTCCACCAGATTTCTCTGTTACCCCCTGGGGAGCCAGCTTGGCCAGACACACTCAGCTGGGCCCCCCAAGCCCCCTGTGCCCTTGTCCACTGGGCGTCTGGCCGGGGTGACCAAGCATCCCCCATCTCCTCACCCGTATCCCAGGGGTGACCAAGCATCCCCCATCTCCTCACCCGTATCCCGGGGGTGACCAAGCATCCCCCATCTCCTCACCCGTATCCCGGGGGTGACCAAGCATCCCCCATCTCCCTCACCCGTATCCCGGCATCTCTTTTGGCCTCTGCTTCCCCAATCCGAGCATCTTTCTGAACTTGTGCGGTGCGAGCCTTTCCCAAAGAGTGCAAGTAGTCCTGCGGGAGAGAAAAAACAGTCTCAGGGGCGTCAGAGATGGGATCAGGCTGTTGGTTTGTTGTGTGTGCAGGGGTTGAACCAGAGCCCCCAGCACACGAGGCTAGGTCGGTGCTTTACACTAAACTTGTTCTTTGTTTCCCCAGATAGGGTCTCTCTGTTTTGTATCCCTGGCTGTCTTGGAACTCGCCTTGTAGACTGGGCTGGCCTCCAACACACGAGATCCACCTGCCTCTATCTCCCATGTGAGTGCAGGATTAAAGGCGTGCATCACCATCACCATCACCATCACCATCACCATCACCATCACAGGCTGTTTGTTTTTGAGGCAGGATCTCACTTGGTAGCCCAGGCTGGAATGGAACTCACTATGTAGATGACCTATGGATCCATCCTGCTTTAGTCCCCCTATCCTACCTCCAGTGCTGGGATTGCAGGCTCCAGCCACGAATCCTGCCTCAACTGCGTATTTTACCTGGTCATCATGAATGTCCTTCAAGGTGTAGCTAACCACGCTGATACCCATGTTGACCAGGTCTGAGGAGGCCACTTTGAAAACTTGCTCTGAGAATTTCTGTCTGTCCTTATAGATCTCCTAGAGAGAATAGTGACAGGAGGGAGGTCAGACTCATCACCTGTCACAGATGAGCTGGTTCTCATCCTGGCATCCCTACCCAGATCTTTTCTTGTCCCCCAGTCCCACCTCCACAGTCATGTGGGCCATGATAGCCCTCTGGTGGCCCTCCAGTGTCTCCAGGGCAATGTGGGCAATCTCCGCCTCTGTCTTCCCCAGGAACATCTGGCAGGCGGCTGCCAACATCTCTTTGTTCTGGCCCTGGATCTTCACCTGGAGCCGTAGTAGAGAGAGGAGGAAGAGCTAGGTGCCTTGGGGGCGGCTGGAGAAGGTGAGACCAGCAGAAAGGCAGAGTCCAGAAGGCCATGGTCAGAGGTGCTCAATGGCCAGGAAAAGGTGGGAGCGGCTTTGGGAGGAAGGCTCTGAAAGCCTCACCTGGGCAATGCCCGTGACTGAGATGGGGACCCCATGGCGGGTATAAACCTTTTCACTCTTGACATTGAGGGTCAGTGTGTTGAGAGAGATCCTAGGGGGAAAAGGAGCAGACAGTAAGGGAAAGAGCAGAGAGGAAAGTGGGTTTCCTCCCGGGGTTCCATCCACCTACCTCTGGATTTGTTGGATGCAGGGCAGGACAAAAACTCGGCCTCCAGCCACCATGACTGGGGGGCTCCTGCAGAACCCTGTAAGGTGAGGGCATAATGTGGCCATGGCAGAGTCTTTTTAGACTATAGGGTGGAGGGTGGAACACACTCACACAGAGAATCCGGGGGTCGAGGGAGAGCATTCTGGGCCTTGGAAAATACAGGCTGGGGGAATCACAGGTGGTTTTTGGCCACGGTGGGCAGAAGGTTGGGGCTGGTAAGCTGGTGAGGAGACGAGGGGGCAGAGGTCAGGCTTAAAGGGGCTTCAGGGGTGGAGTGGGTGTCACTGGCCGGGACGAGACTTACCGGAGACCACCATGGCCTCATTTGGGCCACAAGTGAAAAACATGGTTGAGGCCGCAGCTGGAGGGGGATGGAGAGAAAGCCTTGGCGGAGGGGAAGGGGCCTGTGGCCCCTCCTCCCATGCCCGTCAGGAGCACGCTCTGCCCCTGCCACCGCCCAGTCCCTCAGCGCCCCTGTGGCAGTGCTACTATCCCTGGCGGCTTCCCCCCCTGCGCCCGCCGACTCTCACGGTCCTCCTCTCCCGCGCCCCCTGCCCCTCCATCTCCGGTGCCCAGGGGTCTGCAGACCGTTCCGCATCTTCCCGGCTCCTCGGCCGCCCGTGGCTCCGCCTCCCCTCCCTCCCCACTCACCTTCGGGTAGTGCGCGGGCAGCGACCCTGCCGGGGTCTCGGGAAGCGCGGAGACGCGCAGAGACCTGGGGTGAGGCAGGGGGCAGCCCGGACGCCCGGCTAACGGGAAGCTGCGCTTGCGCCCCCCACCCGGCCGCACCCTGTTGCTGCAGCGGACGCGGCCCCGCCCCTTTCCCGGCAGGCCCCGCTCGCGCCCGCAGCACTCCCGCTCCGGCCCCCAGGGCGCTGCCGGCACTGGCCCCGCCCCCGCCCCGCCGAGACCACGCCCCCGCTCCGCCGAGGCCCCGCCCTTGGGTGCCCGCCGTCCGCCGTGAGTAAGCAGATTGCCACACACCGCCGGCCCCGTGGGGAAAACCGCGGACCCAGCAACGAGTGACAGCATCCGGCGGCCGGATGTAGGTCTCCAACTCCAAGAAAAAGAGTTCGGGACCCAAGAAGAGGTGCACACCGGGGCCCTAGTCATATCCTCCCGCCACGCCTTCTTTTTTTTTTTTTTTTTGGCCGCTTGAAAAGATACGCTTTGAGAACTGATGATAATAACCGGCAATCAAGTTTATTCGTGTTCACAGAACATACTAGGCGACCCGCACCAGCCGCCCTCTGACAATCCATGGGCCCAAGACCCCCGCAGCCGCCCCTGAGAAGCAAGCGGGGGGACAAAGACCACAGACCGGATTCCCAAGGGTCTGCCGCAAGCCTTACAACAGACTACGGAGTTGAGGTGCTGGAAGACGGACTGTTACCCCTAAACTTAGGCCCTACCACCAAGTCTTATCCCCAGGCTCCAAGTCCTCCCCCCCACCACGCTGTCTCACCGACCCTACACGTCGTTAATAAATAATCCAGATATCCGTGTTACAGCAAGGGGGGCATATCTCGCACCCCTGCATAAGTTAGAATAAATATTACATACACCCCTCCTTCACCCAGGAGGATATACATAAATACATAAATATGAACTAGGACACTGAGAAGGCTGCCGTCCTCCTCCAGTGGGCCTAGCCGGGACCCTCGGTGCCTCGGGCTCGCACCAGCACCTTGGCCGTAGTGTTCTGAGTTCGCATTGCCTTATAAGTCCCAGTTTGGGATACGCTCTGGCGCACCGGATACGCCGGTGCCTCTTTTGTTTTTTTCCGGGACTGAGTGTGGCCCGTCGCATTTAGAAGGCCGCCGGGTGTTGCTGGAGAAAAGCTTTGAGGTCCAGAGCGTAGTCCGAGGACTCGGAGGTCAGATTCAAGGGCTCGAGCACCGGGGCCGCAGTAATGGGCGCAGGGATGGGTTCGGGTGAAGCGGCGCTGGAAGCATCCTCCGGAGCCAGGGTCTGCGACACACCTTCTTCAGCCATCAAGATCTGGCAGAAGATGATGGTGAGCAGGAGAAAGAGGACCCTCTTGGCCATGTTGGGTTCCTCGGTTGGCAGCTGGCGCCGGACCTGGGAAGAGACAGAAGAGGGGAAAGTCAGATCAAGGTCCCTGAGTCTCGTTGTCCCCTGTAGGTGCCAGAGCGACCCGACCTCCTGCTGCCCACTCCGGAGACACTCACCACTCGAGGGTAGAGCACCCTTCGGCTGCGTTTGCGGTGCCCGCGGGAAGTGTTCAGACGCGCGGCAGACGCTACCGCCGGCTCCGGGAGAGGGTCGAAGGTGAAAATCTCGGGACCCGAGCCTCGCCGGAGTTCCGAGCTGGCGGAGGGAGCGGGAGCCGGGGCCGGCAGGCCAGTCATGGTGTGGAGATGGTTGCGCGAGTGGCACATAGTTTGAGCGCGGTGCAGACAGTGAGCCAGAGTGCAGATCCCCAGCGAGGCGGCGCTAGTTATATGGTCATGAAGGGGCCGGGCCCACGGAGCTCCGCCCTTCGCAGCTGGGGAGCAGTTGGCTGCGCAGGGCTGGAAATTCCGAGGAGGAAGCAGAATGCAGGCGGAATCTTGGCTGCCTACTCCCTAGGTGACCCACTGCACGTTTTGTCTGGGAGCAGTGAATGCGGGTGGGTGTAATCGCTGGGGGTAGTAATCACATGTCCGGGCATGAGGGAGCTAGAGGGGGCTCCCAGACACAGATGGTTCAGCCACCATCCTTGGAGACGCCCAGCAAGATCAAGGGACCACAGAAAAACGCATTCACATACTTGAAAGTATGCGTAGGAAACACACATGCCGGGGGAAGTCATTGCACAAACTTCCAAGAAGACTAAGAAAAGAACACTATAAAACGCACAGACCCAGCACACGTGAAAACGCATACACACATCACATGCATTTCACATACGCACACAACCAAGGTGCCTAGGGACACCCCAGCGAAGCTATGCAAAGAGAGATACAGCAGGGACAAGAAGTCAGCAGCCCCTCTTGGATGGGTCACATAATAAGACCCAAAATGAAGAACTTTTCTAAAATTACGAGACATCGGGCCAAGTGCTGCATGCAGCACCATTCAGAACCCACAGAATTTCTCGGCTGCTTTGGAGACCTTTCTTCGGGACATAGAAGTCAACATTTTTGAGCACCTGTAACAACCCGAGTAAAAAAGCATTGTGAAAGCCACCCAGCACAATATGAAGCTGCAGCCCTCTTCCCTGCTGCTGGCCACGTTGAGGCAGGAGGATATCTTGAACCCAGGAGTTTGGGACCAGTGTAGGGAACATAGCAAGGTCCAGTCTCAGAACAAACAAGCAAAAAATCAAAGAAGGGTTTGGACAGATGGCTCAGTTGTTAAGGGCACTTGCTGCTTCTGCAGAGGACCTGGGATCAGTTCCCAACACTGAACTGGCAGCTCACAATCAGTCCCAGGGGATCTGATGCCCTTTTCTGGTCACGTGGTGCACATACATATATACAGACAAAATACTCAAGTAATAAAATAAAAGTGAAATATGTCTTAAAACAAAACAAAACAAAACAAAAAAGCCAGGTGATATGGCTCAGGGGATAAAGGTGTTAGTTGCTAAGTCTGATGACCCGAATTTGATCCCTGGGATCCACATGGTAGAAGAGAACTGATTCTTAGAAAGTCACCTCTGACTTCCACATGTGGTCCACGTATGCCCACACATACACACATTCGAATAAATAACCAAATTATATACAAATATAAATGTACTGTTGAAAGCTCTGAGGTTAGCTTTACAGGAAGAAAGCAAGCCAGATAGAGCTGTCACTTTGGTCTAGAAGGTTCTATGCCCTGGGTTTATGAGGGGACCCTGACTAGAAAGAACTCTTCTGAGGGTCCTAAGAAGACTGAGGGCACTCTGAGGAGCTATTGTTCACATCTGACTAATCGGTCAGGAAGGCTTCAGTCAAGAGTGACATTTGAGATGACCCATTAGGTGGGATATGACACATTCAGATGTGAAGGGTGACTGAAAAGAGAGGAAGGAATCAGCAGAGACTTTTCCAAGCTGGAAAAGTACAGGATTCCTTAGGAGGAATCACAAGGAAAACTATCTCCCAGTAAGTTTCCTGGGAAGTGCTAATGGCCCCAGGAGCTAGGCAGAGAGGAACACTCACCAGGCAGACCCCAGATCATGGAGTACAGTCCAGGAGAAGAGTGGTTAAACTGGGAACTGACTGGGATGAGGACTATGCCCTCACGGGTGAGAATGTAGGGGCTGTGAGCCACTAGAGGGGCTCAGGTGGAAGGTAACTGCAACCTAAAATAAGACCAGAAGAGACATTCCTAGCATGAGAGCACCAGATCTGGGTAATAAGTTGGACTTCACGGGAGGAAGGACACTTAGGGACCTTAAAACAGAGCTGGCTCTGGGGGTCTGAGGTGTAGCTGGCTCACCTGGCTCAGAGCTTTATCTCATTTTGAGCCTGGGGAGTATGTGTGACTCCTTCTATCATTGGGTCAGAAGCTGTGGTGTACACAGATTGTCCTTCATAGAACCCAGCACAATGCCTCCCAGGCAGTACCTGCTCAATAATCCTTTAAAAAATGTATATGCCTGAATGTATATATGCGCACCTCACACATGCAAGAGCCAAAGGAGCCAGAAGAGGGCGCTAGAACCTGGAACTGGAGTTATGGATGGTTACAAACTGCCTGTTATGGATGCTAGGAACCAAACTACGGTCTTCTGCAAGACCAGCAAGTGTTCCTACCTGCGGAGCCTTCTCTCTAGCCTCCAATAATCTTACTAAGTGAGGATGAAAATACAGAACTATAAATGCACACATAATATTCTCAGACTGGCTAGGGCCTCCAAGCTTCTGGAATATGAATACGTTCCTTTGAACTTCCCAGAGAAACAGTGTCTTAGGAAAAGCCGGGGAGCTGGAGAGGTGGCTCAGAGGCTAAGAGAGTTCCTGCTCTTGCTGAAGACCTAGCTGGCTTTGACCAGTATCCACATGTGATTCACAACCATCCATAACTCCAGTTCCGGGGGCTCTAGTAGCGTCTTCTGATCTCCTCTGAAACCAGACATGCCCGTGGGTGCACAGACATGCACGAAGGCAAAACACTCACGCATAAAATAAAATGAATAAATTTAATTTAAAAAACTTTTAAAGCGGGGCAATGGTGGCACACGCCTTGAATCCCAGCACTCAGGAGGCGGAGCCAGGAGGATCTCTGTGAGTTCGAGACCAGCCTGGTCTACAGAGAGAGAGCCAGGACAAGCACCAAAACTACAGAGAGAAACCCTGTCTCAAAACAAACCAAAAAAAAAATTTTTTAAAGGAAAACCTGGGACACCCCCCCTTTTTTTTTTAAGAAAAAAAAAAAAAAACAAAAACAAACTAGGAACTGAAAATAGGGTCTCTAGTATTCGAGGCTAGTGCTCTACCACTGAGCTATATGAAACCTGGAAGTTTTATTTTTATTTTTTTATAAAGCAACTGGGAAAACAATTAACTTTACTTTATGTGCATTGGAATGAAGGTATCAGGTCCCCTGGAACTGGAGTTACAGACAGTTGTGGACTGCCATGTGGGTGCTGGGAATTTAACCTGGGTCCTCTGGAAGAACAACAATCAGTGCTCTTATCCACTGAGCCATCTCTCCAGCCCCTGGAAGTTTTATTTTTATTTTATTATTATTATTATTATTATTATTATTATTATTATTATTATTATTATTATATTTTTCAAGACAGAATTTCTCTGTGTAGTCCTGGCTGTCCTGGAACTTGCTCTATAAACCAGGCTGGCCTCAAACTCACAGAGATCGTCTG